GGATATTCGTCGGCGTAATGACCATGCTTTCCACACTTAAAACATGTCACCTCCTCGCCACTTTTTCTAGAGTTTTTCTTTTTGCATTTCTCGCACCATTTTTCTTTACCTCCTCTTTTTCTAGACTTCAAGAACATGTTGCTCTTGTCAGACTTTGAAGACCCCTCAAATTTCCTCTCTTGCCAACTTCCACCTTGTTGGCGATACTACCGTGATCACTTCTTCGACTGACTTAGCAACCCCAATAGTTATCTCAAGGGTAGGTGCCTGGCGTACTGGCACAGTAAGTTCGTCCTTACTTTGTTGAAGTAAACACCTTGTTTCTTCCATCTGTTGATCCAACATCATTCACACCATTGCGTATACTCCCGCCGTCGTGATTAGCTCAGGTGCAGCTGTTAGCTCTAGTGCATTCCCAATCACTTGTGGCTCAGACTGCGGGTTGTCGTTTCCCAATCCATTTTGCGTGCTTGCCATTTCGATCTATACACCAAATTAGGTGAATTTAGATCTCTATTTCGATAGACTTTCAAATCATCCTTATCACTCCGAAACGTTTACATGGTAGTTATAATATCGTAGTCGTACGCTTAGAATCTTAAACACATAAGGTTTCCAGATCCGGTCGGCAACAGACCATAGATCCGAACAAACAATATCATATATGGAAAACATATAACATTTAGCACATAAAAGCATTTTAGGCATCTTTCCTAAAATATACTAGTGCTCGTGTCTAAAATATGGTAGACACTCATCTCACAATCATCGCTTAGCATTCTAAGTTTAAGTCTAGAAATCCTACAAATTCCTAGTTCGCTTAAACTAATGCTCTGATACCAACTGTGACATCCCCAATTTCACGGCTAGAAAAGACCGGTTTAATTTATGTTTTTTTTAAAATAAAATCAGAGTAATCCTTTGATTAAAAGAGTTGAGGAATTTGTTCCCAAAACAAAATATGATCAAATAAAATTTATCAAAGCATTTCTTAAAGAAATGTATTTTCATATATAACAAAACTCGGGATGTCATGTTCCGATACAGACCAAAAGCATAAACAATATAAAATAAACCTTACAACAGTTATTTATAACTACTGATCTATAATCCAAAATCTCTCGTCATGTCAACCAACTTATGCTCTTGTGTCACTACCTGTGATACAAAGAAAACTGAGTGGGTCAGGCTTGCGAGCCTGGTGAGCATATAGGGTTTTCAACCCATAATAAATAATTATATTTAATCATCAAACAATCAGTCCAATTACCCATCCCCATTATGTTCTTTACTTCTTAAGGTCTTACCCTAAGAATCCACTATCCTTCATTCATTCGTTCCTAAGGATTGACCTAAGGAATTGGCACAAAGTCCATTGCTGCTCGAGGTTCATCTACACAGTACTATATCCATAGCTACCATGGTTCATCTACACAGTACTAAATCCATAGCTACCAAGGTTCATCTATACTGTACTAAATCCATAGCTACCATCGTATTATGATAAGGCACTAAATCTATAGCTGCCAGGGTTTTTAAAGTACACCGGTGAACATCAAGTCCACAACACCTACAAGTTGCGAGCTTGCTAGTGTTCCACTGGACTGTCTAGAATAGTCCGTGGTTGTCATCCCGACTCTGCTGAATGACGGGGGCCATCGTTTGGGTAAAGGTTTCACTCATTTTTCACCTGTCACCCTCATCTCACGATCTATATCATCTTTCGTCTCATCCTCAAACTCATCTTTCCTTACACACCAACTATTTCATCTACCCATGTTCTACCCAACATATTTGTAGATATAAATTACATATATAGTTTAAATCATTTAAAAACCTGTATAAAACATTAATTCAACAACCATCTCAAGTAAACAAACAACGTATAAACACATAACACGTATTTCATAGAAAATAATTCATATCTATGCGGTAGAAGAAAGTAACTACACACCTCACTTGATTAGACGATGCTCGGACAGCACTACGGCTCTTCGAGTAGTAATTCTTCGGTGAAACCAGAATGTTTTCTCAGAAACCGGACTTCTCGCGGGGAGAGTTTCGGCTCGAAAACTCTTTCTCTCGGGATCTTCGGGGCTTCGGGACTCGCTTCGGGTATCAGGGATGGTACCGGGGCTTCGGGGGCACTTTAAGAGGGCTAGATAGGGTATCGGAAGAGAGGGAGTAAGAAAATAGCAACCAAAACCGGCTGCCCCTTCGATTTCTATTTATAGGGCCATTTTTCTGGATTCACGTCGTGAATCTCAAATATTCACGTCGTGAGTTCAGTAGTCATCAGGTGCGTCATCACAACTTGCGTCTGTCAGGCTCCAGAAGTCATAAATACTGAGTTCACGTCGTGAACACTGTATTCACGTCGTGAACTCTGACACAGTGTCGGGGTTCGCGCCCCGAACTTCAAAAATTCATATATTTCGCATACGAGCTTCGTTTTTGACGTTATTTATATCCACGCGTAGGTGAGATTATGATCTACAACTCTCGTTTAGACTCTGACGGCTAATTTTGACTTTAATATTTATTATATTATGTTTATTAGGCCAGGACAGGAAAACTTCGTTAGGAATTCATAACTCCTTCATCTGACGTCCGTTTTCGTCTGTCTTTTTACCGTTGGACTACTATCGACGAGATCTTTGATTCTCATTTAGATTGTTTCGGCTAGAAACCACCCGATCTCATATTCGAACTTTAGGTTGCATACCGCTAAGTTGAAACTTCGAAAAATCATAACTTCTCATACGAAGTCAGATTTAGACGTTCTTTTTATGCACGCTCTCGGTTTAACGTATTCTATGAATTTCGTTTAGATCGCTAAGGCCAAATATCGCTCTATAATAAATTCACTATTTACGTCGCGCTGTGTCGTGCCGGTTCTGTCGCGAAACTTCGACAAGTCATAACTTCTTCGTTATAACTCGGATTTCGGCATTCTTTATATATCCGAAATCCTTGTCACGACCACTACAACTTGGTTAAGATTATTTATTCTAAACACTCTTTTATCAAAAAGTCATTTTTGACGCTTATCGTCTCTAAATTGACTAGCCCGGATATACGGGCGTTACACCACCATCAACTGACAACCATTGGCAACCACCACCAGTTACCGAAAAATAAATCCAAAACATGCAACACAACCATAACCACGTGAGAAACATGACCTCATTACCACCTCTTCCATCTAACCATCGTCACTGCTATCAAACAAAATTCACTGCCACCGCCAAGCAAATCCAGATTTGCAGCGATGTTGAGTGGATCTAGTTCAACCGCCATCTCTGTTGTCCCAAAACTAAAATGTAGTGTTTTTTTTTTATTGATAATGATGTATAATAAATAAAAAGTTTTAAATGAAAATAAGGCTATCACAAAATTCCTCCATTTTTCTAAAACAAATTTAAATAAAAGTAACGAGGCAGCATCACTAACTTTCTACAAAGGAAAAACCTTCAACTCGAATGATCTCCTGCACCACAAAATGAAGAAGTGTAGTTTTTCATTGATACCCTTCACGTGTATAAGCATGAGAAGCACATTGAGCTTAAAGGCAAGAACATCATCAGCGGTATTTTCTTCATTCATCCAATTCCCCACTATTAACAAAGTTTCGACCCTATTTGAAATCAAATTTAGAAGAAATTATCATAAAATCAAATTTAAAACAAAAACCTCATGAAATCAAATCAGCAACCATTGATTTCCATAAGTAAACCAAATGAAATCAAAAACTTTCTGGTGACCTAATATGAGAAATGGATTTCTAGAAATGAATATTGGTTCTCAATTTTCACAAAACCCATATGTGAGAAATCTACTTATTCATCATCACAATCGATTTACCCTCTGTGAGAAATGTGTTTCATGCTGGTTGATTTCTCACTGGCGTTGGGAGAGGATGTGAGAGAGAAAGAGAAGGCCAAATGGAGGTGTCGGCAGAGCGACGATCGTGAGAGGTGAACGATTGGGTGCACCTGAATCTAGAATTGAAAAGGAAGAAGAAGATGAGAGTCAACGATTGAAGGTGAAGGCGTTGAGGGTATGAGTTACGATATGGTACAGGAAGGACTAGGTTTAGGGTTTTTATTTTCCTTATACATAATTTATGAATAATAAATAAACGAACTAAAAAATCTGAAAAAAAAAATATTAAGGGAACTATAGTTATTTTCTTATTACACAAGGACTTGCATCGTAATAAAATCAAAACATGAGGACTGTCCGTGTGCAAAAGAAAAGATAAGGACCAAATGCAAAATTTTGGCAAACCAAGAAAATAATTTCAATAATTTGTTGTTAGGATAATGACAAAACCTTTCAGTTTGTAAATTTTTATGGGTTTTTATCTTTTTATCGATTTTAGGTCTATTAAAAATGGATATTTACAACTTTTAAAAAAAAATTATCATCTTTTTCTTTATGTTTGACAGAAATATTTGTTTTATCATTTTTTCTCATTCATAAAACCCTTAAGTTTGGTTTTTTGTTCATTAAAACCGTTACATTTGATAAAAATTTCAATTTTGTTCAATAAATTTACAAAAAATATAAAATTGAATTTTTTCTTTGAAGTATTAATAAATCTAAATTACAACTTAGATAAAACCGACCAAAACTTACAAAGTTAAATGTTTTTGTGACATTTGCCCTAATATATTTCATTATAATAGTTTATATATATATATATATATATATATATATATATATATATATATATATATATAATATTTCCTTTTTTTCTCTTATGGTGTTAACTTCTAGCCATTATTGACACAACCTTAGTCAACACTGTTCTCCTGATTTCCCCTCGTTACTTGAGTGTGCTCTCCAAGCTTGCTTTCCTACCTCCAGCCGAGCCGCTGGTATTTTCTAAGTAATCGTTGTTTTTCACCATTTTATTCGCTTTTATACTGCCTGTACACAATCATACAACAAGACGCAACGATTTACAGAAGCCCCCAGCCATCACACAACCAACAATGGCCAACAAAGATGATAATCGATCCACTAACGAGCTTTCAAGATCATCTTCTCAAGAGCAAAGAAAGTTGCCCTCTGTTAAAACAGAAGAATCTCAATTTGATCCCATCAAAAGTTATAGTAAAAGGGGAGAGACGTCTTCCAAAAGAAGCTCCGCGTGTCTTGATGAGTCACTGACACTAAAGACCGAAGATCCTTATGTGTTGATTCAAACGGAGATGCCTGAGAAGAGGACATGTGAGGAACCTCATGGAACTGCAGATTTATGGCGAGGGAATGTTGTGGGACGAGAGGCAAAGGAGCTATTTGAGGCTGTCGAGCACCGCTACCCCAACACATTTCAACGGGTCCAGATTCGTGTGACACCGTTTTGGTTAGGCAACTTGAAAGAACTCCATGCAACCATTAAACGTTTTATGGGATTAACCGTGGATACACTGGCTCAGGAGCAGATAACCGGTCTTTGGCAAGATTTTAAAGACTTGGAGGCTTTAGGATTCGATCTCTCGTGGGCCCACAAGAGGCTAAACATGGTTGCTAGGCTCAAGTTTGGAAACGAGCCTTTACAGAAAGAGTTGATGGCCTTAGAACATTCGTTAGGGCCGCTGAAGGAGAGAGTTGATGAGATAATGAAGCAGTTATTGAAAGCTCATGATATGTATATGAAGGCACTGTCAGAATATGAAAATGCTACAAAAGCTCGAAACAAGAAAGTAGAAGAGATGACACGAGTGTTCGGACCTGACTTTGATCGCGTATTACAGGATCGTCTTGGTTATGGTATGCTGCCGGGTTACTAACTCGCATTGTTTAACCATTGCAGCAAAAGAAAAAATATTGAAAATTAATGTACATTATAACTTTTCTTTTGGATATATCTAACTTAAATATTAGAAACAAAGACTTACAGGCCTTCCGAACTAGTCGGGCCACACTCGACTTGATGACTGCTCTTGGTTACACGATATTTGGTTATTTAGTTGTCCTAATCTGTCAGTCGTACGCCTACTACTTGACCATAGTATTTTTGGGTTAGATTTTGTTGAAAAACCTTTTGTAAATAAGTCTTTTGTGAATAGAGTAAGGCTTAATAAATGGGGGTAATTACTAATCTAGCCAAATTACGGAAGTAATTAGTAATTTTTAACAAAAAATTAGGAAATGTCCCAAAATAGCCCACGAAACCGTAGGTATCTATATTCGTCTACTGTTTTGCAAAATCGTCTACTGCTTCGTATTTTTGTATAAAAAAAAAATCATTTTCAAGATATAAAACCGTAGGTATTGTAAAACCTACGGTTTCCCAAACCGTAGGTATTGTAAAACCTACGGTTTCCCAAACCGTAGGCTACGGTTTATGGAAAATCTACGTTTTTTTTTTTTAAAATTTTTATTTTATTTTATTTTATTTTTTTTAATCTACGGGTTTGGAGTATAATCTATGGTTTTGTCAAAAAAACTATGGTTTTAATTAATTTTTTTTAATAGAGAATATTTTTTTGAGAATTATTTTCATTATAAAGAGTGTTTATAAAATGTAGAATTATTTTGACAATTATTTTGTTAAAATTTTTTTGAGAATTGTAAAATATAAAATAGTTTTTTAACAAATAATAAAAAAGAAATTGTCAATTTATTTTTGTAAATTTGACTACTTTTTGAGTAAATTTGACTACTTTTTTGCTAAACTTGACTACTTGTTTATTAAACTTGACTACTTTTTTGTTAGAGTTGACTACTATTTTGAACCCACCCTATATATATTAAGTATTTCATATTTTTGGAATTATTTCATATTTGGGAAAATTTCTTCTCTCTAGCTTCTTTATTCTCAAAATTAAGATAATGAGTTGTAACGAGTATTTCGTATTGCCCATTACGAATGGAAGATGGGAGTTTGTTAATTTCCAGTTATCATATGTTTGGCCACCGGGATACAATCCAAGAATGTTTTATTTAGGTGTTGAATTTTACGAAACCACCATGTTCACCGAATTTGTTCATTTGGTGAAGTGCAAGATGGGTCTTCCCGAAGAATCAAAAGTTAGTCTGGCTTATCAACATCCAGAACAACTATTATTGTGGTATTGTTGATGATCGTGATATTAGAAAGCTGATCAAGGTAATAAATGTCGTTGGAGATAAATCTGTGTCTGTCTATGTGGTGGTTGAAGAAGGCGTTTGGCGTAACGAAGTGGATGATAGAGGAAAGGCATCTGCAGCTAATTTATCAAGTGGAAAAGGGTGCAACAACCCAATAGGTAATTTTAAAAGTCCAAGTAAAAGTCAATATCATAGTGTCGCTGAAAATGTAAATGTAGTGCCAGAACCGATTATGTATGTTACACCGGAGAATTATAAGTATATCGGTGATAATGATGTTGGTACATATGTTAATGAAGTTGGTGTAAATCATTACTTTGACCAAACAAAAGCACTAGACGTGGTGAATAAGGTTGGTAATGAATCTGGAAAACAAGAAGTTCCATTTTTGCATGATGGTGAACTAAAAGGATATGGCGAGTTTGCGGATTGTTACAAGTTGGATATATCCGGCCTAGAGAGTGATTCTAACGGAGAAGAATTTGATGATGAACCTAAACTTATTTATTCAGATACAATGTTTCATGGTATGCCCCCATTGCCTTCGTGCCCTGTAAACGATGATGTGAACATTCCATGGGGTGGATATAAATCAAGAGATTAAGGTTCTAGACATTTTTGATGACAAAGAGTTGCTCAAGCTTGCAATTGGAAGACAATGCATGGAGCAAGGTAAGCAGTATAAGACTACCAAATCGAGCAAAGAAAGGTTCGAGGTGGTTTGTTTGGTAGAAAATTGTTCTTGGATGGTTAGGGCAAGGGGAATCAAATCGACTACTGCTTTCCAAGTCACAAAAGTTGTTGACCAACACACATGTTGTGCAACAAACTTGGAGTCTAATCATCGACAATCAAATAAAAAGGTACTCGGCCACTTTATCGCTGACGTATTGGCCGGAGATTATAATAGAGTTTTATCGGGGTAATGAAATTGTGAGGGACATCAATTCGAAATTTCCAATCAATATCTCATACCAACTGGCATGGCGGGCAAAACAATATGCGTTGTTGAAGTTAAGAGGTACCAAAGAGGATTCATTCACCAAACTACCAGCGTATCTGCACAACTTGGTCAAGCATAATCCAGGTACTGTTACTCAGATAAGAACAGATGATGATGATCGGTTTGAGTTCGTGTATATCGCACTGGGTTGCTCGGTAAGCAGTGATAGTTTTTTATAACAAATATAACATATGAATCCTAATTGGTATTTGTTAATGCCATCAAAAATAATTGTAGGTACAAGCGTTCATCAAATATTGTAGGCCGACCCTAATAATTGATGGTGGTCACCTAAAGAGTGAATTTAAGGGTACGATGTTGCTCGCAGTGACAATGGACGGTCAAAACCAAATCATGCATGTTGCTTATGCCATATGCAAAAGTGAATGTACGGAGACATGGTCCTGGTTCCTTCGAAAACTACGTGAATGTATAGGTAACGTGGAAGACCTTACATTCATATCTGATAGGGCTCCATCCATAGCGACGTCAATTGCAAATATATTTCCTCACGCCCATCATGGAATATGTGGTATCCATTTGTATTTCAACATTTCAGCAAAATTTGGAAGCAGCGATACAATACACGCATTATTTTGGGAGACATGCAAAGTCTATACTATTCAAAAATTCGATAATGGGATGAAAAAAATTTAAAAGGTAAATGATCGTGTATTGGAATACCTACAAAACATCAATCCAGAAAGATGGGCCAAGCACATTTTTCATGGGAATCAGGATTTTCGTATGACATCAAATAGTGCGGAGTCGATAAATTCAATGTCAAGATTTGCAAGAAAGATGCCAATATTGATGTTGATTGAGTATTTTCGTGCAACAATGCAACAATGGAGTTTTCAGAAACGTAATGTTGCAGGTACTAATATTTTGTATATAATAGTACTTGAAATGTTATTTTACTACTCATATGATATGTAACACCGGATTATTGGTATGTATTTTAATTATGAATTTTATGTAATTCCTCTGGGACTCGACGAGTTGGTGGCCCAACTCGTTGAGTAGAGACGGGATCCGCGGACAGTTTAAGTGACCTACTCGACGAGTCGGAAGACTGACTCGGCGAGTAGGTGTTGTTTGGGTGAAACCCTAAATTTGAGGGTTTGCACCCTATTTAAACGTCTTATTGCAGCCTCCATTGTCCCTTATGCTCCCAGAACACCTCATATCGAAACCCTAGCCGCTTTGAGTGATCTAAGGCCATTTTGGTACTCTTGGGTGGTTTGTGAAGCTTGGAAGGAAGGAAGAAGCTTGGGAATTCGAGTTGGGGGTTGTAGATCCAGAGATCTTATTCCATCTTCAGCTCAATCAAGGTAAATGCCTCCTGTTTTGGTCTTCCATTTGGTTGTTCATCTTTAGGGCTTAGATTTTGGGTACATTTAGGGCTTTCTAAGCCATTTTCGGATTTGTGAGGTGATTCATGGGGTTCTACTTTCAGATCTGAGTCATTGGATGGGTATCATGGCATAAAGGTGCTAACTCTATGGCCATGAGAGCCCCCCATGCACATTGTAGAGCACCTTTTATGGATTTTTGAGCCAAAGACCCCATGCATGTGCACAAAGTTTGGAACTTTACGTATAAAATGGACATTAGGAGGCCAGATCTATGGTTTTGGCATGTTATGACCCATTTAAATCGACTGTATAGTAAGGGTCAAGAAGGGACTCGACGAGTTGTTCTTGGAACTCGGCGAGTCGGTGTGTAGTGACCACTAAATCCCTTCTGTGGTTGGACTAGTGGTTCGGGAAGGAAGTCCCGTAAATGTTCAGACTCGTAAAGGGTCCTGGGAATCATGGGACTCGACGAGTGTATGAACAGACTCGGCGAGTCCAAGGCAATATCCCAACCCTTGAGGATGAACTCGACGAGTTGTTCATACAACTCGGCGAGTCACAGACTGGACATGTTCATAGGATGAAGGTGAACTCGACGAGTTGTTCATACAACTCGGCGAGTCGGATGAAGACGGTCCTGATGGTTTGAATGAAGGAGAACTCGACGAGTTCTCGCAAGGCTCGACGAGTGGTGTCGGGGTTGGATCGGGTTATTGGAGCATGGACTCGACGAGTTGGTAGACCAACTCGGCGAGTCAGGTCAACTGGGCATTGACTTTGACCAATGTTGACTTGCCTGGTTTTTGATATTAACCCTGCTTGGGTTGTATGTTCGGTTTGATGACTTGAAGGTTGTCGTGTAGGGATTGAGGAGACGAGGAGGGCCGACCTTCACGCTTAGGGCAGTTCAGACACTACACGACATCGAGGTGAGTTACCTTCCAGTAGCGGTGGGTCTACGGCCACAATGCCGACCCACTAGTAGGAGTTGTATGTTAGATGATTGTCTATGTGATATTCATCTAGGTTTGCTACTACCTGATATGTTTATGTGCTAGCATGAAATGTTATATGTGATAGTAGTAGAGTTCGGTTGTTAGGACCGAAGGGTAGGTCAGGCACCGCAGATATGTCTGACAGTATGTGATGATATGTTTATATGCTGGTATGACATGATATATGTGATAGCGGTAGTAGGAAGGGAATAGTCCCCGAGTTCGGTTGTTAGGACCGAAGGGTAGTTCGGACACCCCAGATATGTCTGATATTATGTTTATGTTATGATATATGTGATAGTAATAGTAGGGGGTGAAATAGTCCCCGAGGTTCGGTTGTG